TTGTCTAATTGGCAGCTGGAATGATTTCATAGGAAATGGGTGTTATTTTGGTATTGTTGATTTAAAGGTTACCCCATTACAGGGAGGCAGACAATGAGAATTCATCTTAAAATTTCACCTACTCACTGATGCCTGTAGAGTGTCTTTGCAATTAACAATTCCTATCACCTCTCCCAGTTCCCTGTGTGAGAAGGCTGAGAACTCATCTTACAAATTGCTCTTTTGAAGATCAAAGGGAAGCTGAATGTGTCTGTGTGCGCTCTCCACGAGATTGTAATTTAATGGAATTTTTAGAGAAGGCTTGACTGGCAGTGTGTTTGGATGACAGCCCTAGGGCGGAGGATGCAGGGGAGCTTGGGCCACTCTTCCCTTTGGAGCATTTTCCCTGCCTTTAATTGGCACCTCATTAGAAATTAATGAAAATGACATCCTCTGTTCTTCCTGCTCTAGGCATAGAATGCTACAAAAAGGCCCATCACAATTCATAACACATTCAATTTATATAGCAATGGCTCTTAAGCATTATTTATGAGATGTGAATTTCTTGTCAGCAGTTAATAACCTGTAGAGAGTGGAAAGGGACTGGAAGAAAAAGACTGTGAATGCATAAAAAAGATTTTCTATGTTGGAAAAATGTTTTGAGTTTAAACCAACTTCCTGAGTTTCCTCTTTCAGTAGTAAATTATTGTGTGTGTCCCCCCCCACCCCCCCTTGCAACTTTCCAGGACATCTAAGGGAATCTCTACAAAAACAACACTATCAACAAACTGGGCTTCACAATGGTAGTATTCTTTAGAAATAATCCCAAGAGTTAAATATTTGCCTAAGACTGTCCAATATTTTCCTCAAAGTTACTGTCTTCTCTTAAGAAAAGTCAAGTAACACTATACGGAGCTGGAGATTTTCAGGGAAAGTAAAAACATAGCAAAGTGGCACAATGGATAGCTGGGCCTAGAGTTAGGAAGACTCCATCTTCTTGAGTTCAATCTAGCTTCAGACACTTACTAGCTATGTGCTCCTGGGCAAATCACTTAAGCCTGTTTGCCTCAATTTCCTTATCTGTTAAATGAGCCAGAGAAGGAAATGGCAAACCACTCTAGTATCTTTGCCAAGAAAACCCCAAATGGGGTCATGAAGTGTTGGACATGACTGAAAACAACTAAACAACAACAAAAATATAATGCTGGTGGTGGTCCAACTTTGAAAGTTGAAAATGGTTTCAACTTTCCCTAGGCAACCTCACACCTAGAGACCTTGCTTTGCCCTAGGCCCACCTGCTTCTGGTGGGAAAGTCAATCTCCCCAAACAGCCAAAAAGCTGATATTTCTGTCCTTCACAAACAGCCCACTTGGATCTGTGGAGAATACCAACTTTTAAACCATCTCCATGTGACAGCTCTAGGAATTTAAGACTCCCAAGTGTGACAGGGTGATAAGCCACACAAGAATGTAACAAAGACAGACAAGGTAGCTACCTGAAAGGACACAATATCATCTACTATGTACTCTAGATACTTTTTATTGGTAGATTTTGTGAAGCTGCCAGGTTAACTGGGAAACGTAGCTTTAATACTGCCAGAACAGTTGGCGCTGAAACGTGACTTCTTGTCTGGGTGGTATTAACCATGGCCAGAGGCAAGACAGCACGCTCAACGAATCACTTTGCTTGATCCACTATGGTAAATCCTGTGTAATATTAAGGATTTGGTTATTCTTAGAAATGGAAATACAGGCACATGAAATAAAGAAAAATCCTGTTTCTAATACGGGAACTCAAGGAACACAGTGCTAAAGCAATGGGCAAAACAAGCTGCAGATGAGCTTAAAAACAGCTGCAAAAGGTGAAGTGATGACACGAGGAATGCCTGTGATGTGGGTATCCAGAGGAGCTAATTAGGCTGCTTAAGGAGCCTCCTTTATGAAAACTAAAGCATAAATTCAGGGACCAAGACTCTGGAAAAACTGCCATGAGATCCTTAGGGCCTCAATGGCTTAGACATAGAGCATCTCAGAACCCTGATACCAAGAGCAAACATCCAAACCTGAGTAAATGATGCTATAGTATAAGTGTGGGACACAAATTACGTAAGATTCAAGCTAGAAAAATAAGATAGTGTTGTACAGCAGAAGGAGTGCTGAACTCGAGTTTTAAATCCTTGCTACGCCATCCAGTACTTTACCTCTCTGGGCTGATTTCCTCATCAATACCACGAGGGGTTGGATTCCCTGTCCTCTAAGGACACCTATGATATCTCTGATTGTATATGTATGTATGTACATGTATCTACTGTGTGTGTGTGTGTGTGTGTGTGTGTGTGTGCGCGCGCACGCGCGTGCGCCCACACGTGTATGATGCATACGGATTTGTATATCTATGACTGACGAACAAACTTTTGCTTATCACATTCTGGGCACTGCACCAAACACTTGAAACGCAAAGACAAGAATAAAACAGTCCTCAAGGTTTACTTACACAAGAGTACACGTGCATAAACATAAACAATTTTGGGGTGAGGGAATGCACTAGCAGCTACAGGTTATTGTCACTGTGGGTAACCTCTGCTCCTGGATCATGTAACCTATTCTTTAGTTCTCTTATCTTTCCTACTTTCCCATCTACAGGGATTCAATTGTAAAACTAATAGTTAAGAGCTTTGGTTTTTCTTGTTTTCTCAATATGGGGTAGAGGAGGCAGAGATTAGCAGGAGAGAAGGCAGATCATTTGAAAATAAAACAAAATATAATCAAAAAATTTTAAAAACAAACTAAATAGTTATCAAGTGCCACCCCACCCCATTTTCCCCCTCCCCCCAAATTGGGACAGAGACCAGAACTTCAATTTCACTGGTATAAGGAACTTTCTGGTGAGGAAATCCCCTTAACCAATGTAGGTTGTCACCTTTGCTACATCTAGTCTTATAGAGTTGACTGGGTGCACATTAAGTGTCTTGCCTATGGTCGTAAGTCCAGTTTGGGTCAGAGATGAGACTTGAACCTAGTACACAAACCAAAGCTACCTTTGACCACACTTCAGATGACCTCGGCTTGTGTTGGCCTTCACTTGGTATGACTCCTTCTAGGCAGCTTTGTAACTTTGGATTCTCTTTACATAACTCCATGCATACAAGCCTGTAGTTGACTGACTTCTTTTCTTTTCTTTCTTTTTTTTTTTTGGTTAGGCAGTTGGGGTTAAGTGACTTGCCCAGGGTCACACAGCTAATAAGTGTCAAGTCTTTGGTCTGAGGCTGGATTTGAACTCAGGTGCTCTATCCACTGCACCACCTAGCTGCCCCTTGACTTACTTTCTTAGAACGAAAAAATTCTGTACTAAGCTACACCTGGAAAGCCTTGTTCAGAATGGTGTATGGAAGCATGACGGGTAATGCAACGGAAACCAGTGTTTTCCTTTCCTTGATAAGTTTCTATGAAGAGGCTGGGGTCTATTTCCTTACCTGTGCAAAGAACTCAAGATTTTTTTTGAAGACACAGGATTCAGTCAGAACAGGTGACCTTATAACTAACAACTCAACAATTAATTTTACCTGCACTATCACTAGCAATGGCTGGCAATCTCTTGAATAAACATTATAAGCAGAAACACAATCTAGTCACTTAGTCATTTTTGTATTTTAAAAGCAATGCTATAAGTTGAACTGTCCCCATAATTTAATTCTTTGGAAGTTTACACTGAGAGGTGCTTTCTACTGAAGGCCAGCAAAGGAGTCACTCTTATAGCTGCTACCACTATGCTTCTCATGGAGAGGGAGAAGGAAAAGTATAATGCCGATTTTCTCATAGAATAGGTCTGAGGCTTTTAATAGCCAGGGCTGGCTGTAGCTGATCTCCTGTAGCTCTGCCCAGGAGGCAGATGTTTCAAAAGCAGGAAATAAAACCAGACCCTGAGAAGCATTATGCTGGCCTAAAATACTGTAACTAGCAGATTTTTGCCCTTATGTGACATGACATATGTGGCCAAAGGGAGAGGAGGGATAGATCTAAGTTTTATACTGCTCTGGTTAGGCATAAAGTTTCTTATACATTTTCTTGCAGCGATTATAAGGAGTTGGCACTGTACACTAGAGTACACACATGTATGTAATGGGCTTGTTTCTAAATGAGAGAACTCTGACTCAACTTTCCCCATAAGGCAGTGGGAAGAGAATCTGGTAGGGTGGGGAACAGGAAAAGTTGAGAGCAGTTATCAGCAGAGTTAAGTACCACAAATTTAAAGTCACTTGTATTCTATAAGTTGAAGAAGGCAACACTGTGAATTTTAAAAATAAAGCCCCAAACACCTCTAAAGCAGTCTTGCAGATAAACGAGAAAACCTGTCAGTCTACTAAAATTTTAATTAACTGCTGAATAGATACACCTGCCATAGCCCTCACTTTGGTGATGGTCACTGCAATGGCACAACCTAAAAAGACATAGTAGCTGCCTGAAGAATAAAACTATAAATGCTCGAAGTCACATTTCTCATTTTTATTAAAGGTCTTCAATAACCTCTAGCATTGTCTTTTTTTTTAGGCCTAGTTTAGTTTCTATCAGGCTTTGGCTTAGTTTGTATAGTGTTGTTTTTTTTTTTAATGTGGATTTGACAGTAAGGTGCAGTCAATTTAGGAGCTATGATGAGTGTGAGACCAGGACAGTATTCATAATGATAAATGAATAAGAAATCAACTAAGGAAAAATTCTTCTTAGAAAAAGTCTGCCTGTGAGCTCTGTATTTTATGTGGAACAATCAGGACTGTGGAGGAGGAAAAAACAATCTACTAATCTGAGTTCTTACAGGCCAAGCTGGGAGGTCCTATAGTGCGCCTGTACCCAGAGGGCTGTGAGATACACACTTGGTAAGCTGAACAGTGGCCCCAGTCTCTAGACAGGACTGTGTTTGGAAGGCTTGTATGCCAAGTAAGGAAACTGCCTTGGCTCTTACTTTTTTGCAACATTTCTCCTCCAGGATCTGTGTCTGTTTAGTCCCAAGGAGCTGACAGCACTCACCCTCAAGAAAACCTTGGCTCCCACCACGTACTGAAGGAGGACACTCACCACAGCGACATGATCCCAGTTCTTGCTGGACCAGCTCAAGTTTTGCCTGGCACTGGAAGCAGCGGCGCCGACTCTTTTGTTTAGAACGGCCGGCTTCCTCAGGTTGGTCGTTGCTGTCCAGTAGCCTTGGCCGCTTCACTGGGGAAGCCTCACTCTCAGACTGTGAATCTGCTCAGAACACAGATGTGGAGACGATGTTAACCCCTGGCCAGTGAGGCAGGTGAGAAAGTTAAGGCATTGCTTAGGTTCTATCCCAGGCTGTATTCAGAACTCAGGAGGCAGGACTTCTAGGTGTCAAGGTTATAAAAGATGCATAAGATTCTGATTTTACCTGATTTCGCTATTCAACCTTATGGTAAACATGTATCTCTAGGCTTTTTGGGGGGGGGGCAGGGGGTTAAATAGAGTTTCCAGGCTAAAAAAATGAAACAAAATTTGTTATTATTTAGTCAGGTCTCTATGAAACTTGGAAATCTGAAAGCTCCCAGAAAATAGCAAGGAGTGACCAATTCCCCCTGCCACTACCCCCCACCTCATTCTGTCACAATACCTTCAGTATTCAGTGCTGTGTGCTACTCATTTGGCTAAAATTCTAGTTATTAAGTAGTCTCTTTTCCTATATAAAAATTTTCAGTCTTGAAGGCAGGGACCACATCTTACACATTCCTGTATACCTCAAAGCCCCAGCACAGTGTCTTGCTTGGTTGCCCATGAGCCACTACTGTTACCCCAGAAATATTTTATCAGTGATGATAATACCAAAAGCTCATACACATCTACTGCGTTCACAAAGTTTACAAAGCATTTCATTCACACAACTCTGTAAGGTCAATAATACATGCATTATTATTCTTACTGTACAGGTGAAGACAAAGTGACTTGCTATTGCTGTAATTTAAACCTCAGGACTTTTGACTTTCACACTATTCACGATCCTCTTTTTTCTGCTGATTCATTTTTTACTTGGGGAGCTAGGCGGTGCAGTAGATAGAGTGCTGTGCCTGGAGTCAGGAAGACTCATCTTCCTGAGATCAAATCCAGCTTCAGCACTTACTACCATGTGGCCTTGGGCAAGTCACTTCACCCTGTTTGTCTCAGTTCCTCATCTGTAAAATGAGGTGAAGGAAATAGCAAACCAGTCCAGTATCTTTGCCAAGCAAACCCCAAATGGGATCATGAAGAGTCCAACATGACTACACAACATTTTTTGACTGTTCATCTTCTTTCCCAGCTAAAAAAATGCTAACTCAGATGTTTCTACCGTATGCAAATGATGAGGTATTTGGTATTAATGCTTCATATTAATCGGGAATTTTACATTTATCCTCATTGTAGTAGGGCTATTCTGCTAAACTTGAAATCAGCAAATACTTAGGAGTAAAGAAGGTATGTTTGTTTCACATTCTAAAATGAAAGGCTACCATGGAAGACGGGACACAAAAATGACACTGGTATCATGACACATAGTAGTAGCTGTTGCTGAACCAACACCATGGAAGCATGCTGACAACACAGACTGTACAAGTATTGATGTTAGCCTTAAACAAATTAAAATGAAAAAATGTTCGTTACCCATGCAGGCTACAAACACCACCCACCCAATCACTAAGCAAAGGTAGTACGATTTACCAAATTATACAGCCCCTACTGCAAACCTACTTATTAAACAAGCCAATGCTCCCTACTGCCTGGATAAAACAGGGGAAAGAATTATTTTGGTTACAAAAACTTTCCCTCTGAGAATTCCTCATCTGTCTAACTCAAAGGGCTCCTTTTAGTTAGTCACCCACACTAAGCATTTTCTCACATGAGGGTAGCTTATTATGTTTTTCTCTGCCCTCTTTTTAAGTAAACTCGCCATAGCCCTCATATTTCATGAGCCTTCCTCTAGACTCACCATGTTAACTACAGAGTTTTGCAGGCCTGTACAACCCACAGGCTGCTTACGGCCACTTGGAGCATGCCACAGGATTTCGTGTGGCCCACGAAAAATGTAGAAGAAAACATCCTCATATGCACAGGAAATCCTCCTACATGCTGACCACAGCCATAAGTAGCCCACTGGCCTCAGGTTGCGCAGGCCTGCAATATTATGTGAATACTTCTCAGGCCCTGTTGTACTGGCCCTGACACAGAAGACACACCATTCTCAGCAATCATCAACTACTTTTTTTCCCCATCTCATTTAGTTCTTCCCATAATACGTGACATTCCCCCTCAATACAAACCAATGAAACAGGCCTCTGAAGAAAACAAGTGATACAAGTTCCTTCTGTACATCATAAAGGAAGCTGCCCAACGTCCAGGTAAGGATGCCTAGCTGTTGATGCAGTGGAGGCAGCACCTCACAAGCCTCTTACGGTTCCTCCCTCCCTTCCTCTATGAGGACAACAATTAAATGTAAATCATTACACAGAAGCCAGCCAAACAGGATTCACCATGTATACCCAATATTGCTCTCTAGGGGGCCTTTTTTTTTCTCCCACAAACCAGCCATGGTGCCATTTGTATTAATAACCTTATTTAGATATGCTTTCTTAAAATAGAAGGATAAATTATGGAGGAAAGGAAACAGGGAAAAATGTATTTTGAGATGAAGATCTAAGTCTGGAACACACTATAATCATTTCCCATGGGGAGGGAAGAACACCTGAATAAGATGGAGAAGGGAGAAAAAGAAAAGATAAAAAATGGAGCCCTTCCAAGATGGCCTATAATGCTGTTATTTGGAGGAGGCAAGCATACAAAGCACTTGAGAAGTGGGGGGAGCAGGATGTACAGACTAGAAGCCTCCTTAGTAACATCACTAGACAGCAGAATTAAGAGAATCCCCAATCATGTACTTATTTCAGATTCAAAGCTTGTTTTCAAAAGCAATGGTTCCATTAAACTCACCTTAAGGTACCCCATGTGACATCTAACTGCCTTCATGTTCTAAGAGAATCTTCAGAATGATGAAGGCCAAGAAATCAGCTATATAAGTACAGGAAGGAGGAAACGTGGCTAGCTAGCAGCTAATATGAGAAACACCCTGCACGTTCACTGTTTTCAGTGCATATGCATGTTAACAAAGATAATGTTAGTCAGAGAATGAATAAGATATCATGATTTTTTATTTAAAACAAGGAAAGTAGAGTTTTACTATACTCTGCATTTGTCAGACCACATCTGATGTCATTTGAGGAATGGCTGAAGGAACTGAGAATATTTAGTCTAGAGAAGAGTTGATTTCTCAACAGGATACTTGACTTTTTGAGGGATAGCTGAAAAGGAGATTCGTGTTTCTGGTAGGAATTGAACTACATGGCCTTTGAAGTTTCTTAAAACTCCAGGATTATAAGGTAATATAATTTTCTCTTTTTAAATAAACAAGGCAATTATCTCTAGGAAATGATATGAAACAGAAGATAGTTTTATTGTATACAATTAATATTCCTGTGATTGAACATTTATACTTTGAAATTACTTGCCCCTCTGGCATTAAGCTGCAAGTTGGCAAGATGCTCACAGGTAAATGCGCTAGTCTAATCTTGCTGCTTTCCCACCCTTCTTAGGCTACTTCCTAATAAGCACACTAGAAATATGACATGATTCTATGTTGAATTTTTCCATTTTTAGTTCCTAAGTAGTACAAGGACATTCATTTAGGTTGTATGCAGTTAACCCAGCACAAAACAGACATGGGCATGGGCTTCCAACACTACCCACAGGTTTCTAGCTGAACTAATTGTCCTCTGAACAAGCCTTAAACCTGGTCCTCATCAGTCCTGACAATTACAGTGCTAACCCTGAAACCAAAGGCTAGCAGTATAAGGTGTCCAGGAATATGAAAAGTAGATGTTGAAAATCTGACAGCAAAACAAATGATGTGCCATTAATTGAAATCGTTCATACTTTATTAAACCAGGGAAATACTCTCAAAACATCAAAGTGGCATTTCACTTGCTAAACTTTAGAGAAACTCTTTAGGAGAAGGTAGGGCCTGTCATAAGATGTCTATCCTGGGAATACTTTCACTTAGGTTTTCTATAAACTGAATGTGAATGCCCTCTAATGCCCCCTACTGGAAATAACAAGATAAAAATGATTCATATAGACTTTATAAAAACATACTTCACATGCTACCATTAAAGGTGACTACGCCATAGATGACTTTTCAGAAATGTAAACCATCCTTTGCATTTTCTCATCATTCAACTTGGTGTTTTAATTAGAAGCTAATGAAATAAATAGTGGTCTGTGTGATCATTATGCTTGCAAAAGAAATTCAAATCTCCTCTGCTAATTAGTTAATGACACTATATGCCACAGGGTAGCTTGCCCAAATAAGAGAAACATGTCCAGCAGTACAGGGGCTTCTAACTGCATAACAATGGGCTAAATAATTCAACTATTCAATTATAAATTTTATGCCAATTAGAAAATGACTAAAAGATGGAAAAGAAAAAAAAAACAAACCCAAAACAAAACTAGATAATATAAAAGGAATGAATTATCTTTTTCTGTGGATAAAACTAAAGGAATCGTTGTCTTCCTTTGTTGGACTGGAATAAATTTAGAGGGCTTTGAATTTCTGCTCACAAATGCCACTCTGGTTACTGTCAACTACTTGAACAAAATGAGGAGGAGAGGAATGACCAGCTACTTGCAGAATGTTTACTTGTAGCTGTAATATACACATAGTAAGAAGCACAGAGAGAAGAAGGGGAACTTTAGTACCTTCTACACAGCTCTGACTGTTGGAAGAAACAAGTCCTGATAAGCATGCTCATTAGCCACAGCAAGCTACGCAGAAAAAGGCTAAAAAATTCTTCCACAACCAGGAATTATCAGTGCTTTCTAATTAACAACCTTCACAGAGATCTAACGCAGCAAATTCCCAAACATATCCTTTTGTAGATAACAACATCTGGCCAGAAAATACATCACATATGTATGTGGAGGGACTAGTCCCACCAATGAAATCACCTACTCACAAAGTTGTCCTGATCCCATACAAAAGTAAATTAACCTTAGTATACACCTCTCTCCACTTTCCTGACTACTATTTAATTGAATGGGAAAGACAAGATATCAAATTCTCATCAAAAGAAAGGAATGAGCAAAAACAATAATATGATAAAAAGAATAACAAGTCTTGACTTATTTATGATTTTCTCCAACTCCCA